CCGCCGTGACACCGGCAGCCCCACGCCACCCACACCGCACTTCCGCCGAGGCCAGATGCATCACAGCAACTCCAAAATTAAATTAGCTTCAGGGAGCACGGTATCATGCGACTTCTTTTGAAAAGGGCGCACTCAAAACTTTTAAGGCCCTACGTGGCCCCTCATGAGCACGCCTGGAGCAGCGCTTAGGGGAGAAAAGCATTAGCCCAGAGCAAGCCCTTGCTGGCCACTGTCCTGACCGCTCCTCCCTCAGCTGAAGGTAGCTGCTTCCACTGACAGACGCTCACTTGGGGTGGGGAAAAAAGCAGGTTATTCATTATATTAAATTCTGTCATGTGCTAAAGCGGTTGCAAGAAGAATCAAGAAGGAACAGTGTAAACATTGTGCCTTATTTCAGCTACAACTGAAGTCTGTATCAAGTGCCTATTCACTACAAACTGAATAGACAATACCGGCCAGCTGCAGGACAAGGCTACTCTCACAGCATCGCGTCACTTCCGTGAATCACAGCGCATGACTGGAGTTACCATGCTCTGTGTCACTGCTAGGGAGGAATTAATTAATGATATCTGTAGGAAAGGCAAGAAACAGGATAGACTAGGGTGTTATTCCCGCATACACCTAACTTCACCCACTGGGAATAGCGCTGCTGCTGCTGAGTATGAAAGGACTAAAGATAAGACTACATAGCAGTGTGTGGAGGAGCACAGTAAAAGGAGAAAATGTCCCATCTTCGGGCATTAGCATAGCATTACACTAGTACTTATCAGACCTACTTCTGTAATCAGGAATACTTCAACAGATTAAATTTTTATAAAATATAGGGCTACAGAAATGAGGCATTCTATATATTTTGTATTATAAAAAGCTTCCACTTACATAATTTTTAAAATATATCTTCACTGATAACAGTATATTTTTAATAGAGTATCTGATATAATAAAAATATATGCTTACTGGATGGGAGCGATGTAGCCCTACGGCAGGGACCTTCCTTTCTGTGGTCTGAGCAGCTGAAAAGTCAGTTGTTCCCTCTTTTCCTTGGTTTCTCAGCCCTCAACTGTCTGGAGGCTGCAACAGCACTCTGGAGTGTTAACTTTAAAGTTTCCTCTGCAAAGCAAGCTCTGACATGTTCCTCAGCTGAAATATAATCTACTGGGCAAAATCCAACCTTGGTGTAAATTCACTACATGATTCTATCAGTTTTCCTAATTAAAAACCCAAACCCCCAAACCAATGCTCTATTTGGCATTAGTAAGGAACTGGGACTCGTACAAGTCATGCAACTGCCTGGTAGGAAAAATTCTGCCACAGAAAAACGTTAAGTTACCCGAAGGGACGCACGGGCCTGGCAGCTAAGCAGCTCCCAGTTAAACTTGGCACTTTGAGGGGGCCAAGGTCCATGTGTGGAAACACAGCTGCATCTTCTGGGCCCTTTTCTGCACTCAGTAAAACTGGAAAGCTTAAACGGATCCAAAAAGTGGGCAAGGCTTTACTGTAACCACCAGTGGAAGAATAGAAACGTTCAAATGATGAATCTAGGAAGCATGTGCCAAACAGCTACACCGAGAGGACCACAGTGCACGACCACGGTGCTGCTGAGACACACACGGGGGAGTCACTTGGTGTCCCACCACGTACTGGCACTGCAAAGGCGGCTGGGACCACAGCAGGTATTCGTCTTCCTGGACCAGCCCTTGTAAACCTGCCCGGTCTTGCAAGAACTTACCATCATTGAACAGGGTTTGCTCTGTAGATTGAAATTTATACGTGCAACACATGTTTTACTCCTTTCTGCCTCACCCTGGGAGGAAGATCCTCTAGTTAATGCGTTCAGGAAAAACTCCACCAAACTCAGCATGGTGGCACCAGTGCACGTGAGAGGAAAAGCAGGATCTCTGCAGAAATGAGGATACTGGCTAACACAGGCTGTCTGCTTAATGTCCTAGGTACATTTACTGTTTGTATGTTACAGGCTGCCCTGGTAGATTCGACTTTTGTCAAAGCAGATTAACGGCAAGGCATTCATAAAACATTTTGCCGTAGGGCAGTATGGACTGAGCTTTTCACTTGCAATAGATGGCTGAGAAAACTATCGACATGTGCTATCATATGTAATCAAGCTCGCTAGATTAAAAGCAGGACTTGCGCCTAGCAAACAATGCTGTATATTACCCATTGCACTTCGAGCAGCAGTTCTCTTGTCAGGTTTTATTAAAATATTCACATGCTTCCAAAACGAAACAAAGGTCCACCGGCGTCTCTTGGGGAGAAGAGGCGGGATCAGTTGCATTCGGTTGCCATTTGGTTGGAGATGTCATACAAAATCCTCACACACTGAACATGGCTGAATTTTAAAAAGCTTTTACCCAGAAAGGAGGTCCTTTGTCACACAAAGTCTCTGACTCCTCCAGCGCTCGCCAGACACGGTTACATCACGTTCTCGAAGAGCTGTAAGGATCGCATGATATTGTCATCCTGGAAGCAACGAGAAGACAATTTCATAAAGCCAGCACTGAGGAGCACAACTCATAACTTCACACAGCACAGGAGGGCTCTGCCGCTGCCACCGCAGGCAGCAGCCTTGCTTTCATAACGCTTTTCATCCTCCACAGGCTGGGGTTGAACCAGTGGTCAGGTCCTGATTCAGCAAAGCAGCTGTTCTTACTCTGGCACCTTAGCTGGTTTGGGGCATGCGAGCACAGGGTGTCCTCCTAAGCCTGACATGTGGCACAGGCTGCGCTGTACTGAAGGAAACCGGGCACCGGCACTGTGCTGGTGACTGTGCCGAACCCTCAGACTTCGATACCCAACTGCGTTTCACTGATCCTCGACATGCAAATATGCACTTCACTAATATGCTTCAAAAGCCCACGTGGAATTGCAGGTTTGGAAGTGATAAGCAAGCTGCCTTGGAGGAGCACTTCATCCCAGAAACACAACCAGCTCAACCCCCAAATACATGCAATCTCAGCCTCTCCAAGGTTCCTAACTTCAAATGATGAAGTTGGAGACACGGAAATGAAACCCCAGCTTGTTCTTCATGAAGTCTCAAAATTGCATGTCAAGGTAACAACCAGGGTAATAGTCAAAAACATAATGATGACTCTTCCCCCACGCCCCCAAGGAATTCAATTACTCCAAAAGTTAGAATTCTTGTCTGCCTGTAACAGGAAAATAATTTTCCACATTAGGCAACCTAAGAGTATCTATTGCATCTCATTGCTCTGTCTTACTTGGAGGCTGCATCCATCTTTCCCACTTCTCACATAGTTTGATGGGTATTTATCGCCTTGCATGGGAAACCAACCATCCTCCAAAGCGCTGCCAGGAGTTCGCTGCCCACGAGCCGTGCAGAAAGGGCAGAGGTAAGCGCTACAGTGGACTTCAGTGTGTTTTTCACAAAGAAAAAAAACCCAAACATCTTACTGTTGCAGGGCTGGCTCCTATCTGCCAGGAAACCACAGGACAGTGCACAGCTGCTAGCGCAAGTAGGTCAACAGAAGGACCCAAACCAGGCAGAGCATTAAACAAACCAACAGTTAAAAGTAAAGCAAAGCTGCTTCTGATCATACACACACATCCAGCCTGAAGGCAAATTATGAATGTGAAGAATAATACACAGTGCAAATGATCAAATGAAAGAAGAGGCCAAAAATAAGCTAAACAACCAGGATGGGCCAAGAATTAAGTAACCGAAAGAAATTAGCCTTGTATTATGTGTCTGCTAAGAAGGATTTTGCTGCCTCAAGTCCCTGACTGAGAAGTAACGTGGATGTTGCCAGAGCCAGGCTTCACACGAACAGCGGGCAGCCGGCCTGGCCCTCCACAGCGAGCATCTCCCCATTGCGTGGGTACAGAAGAGCTGTCTGACTGCAGAACAGGAAAGCTGTTTCCAGGGAAAGCAAAATACACAGGAGGGCCAGTGTGCAATTATTTGCACCAATGTAAACGTTCTAAAATGCAGAGGCCATTATTGTACTGATTAAATATTAGAGAGATCTCTGAGCAAACATTCACACAGTTAATTATAGTCTATGACAACAGACACTCGGCCAATAGCATGTTAATGCAGATGCTTATCGTTGTGCCAGTGCTGAAAATATCAGCAAATATTTATTACAGCCAACCTAATGTAGGGAATTTGCAAGAGGGAGCTTATTTCCAAAACAGAAATCAAATAATCTTTGCTACGATGACAGCATTTGCCTTTAATGCTTGACCATGAAAACATCAACTGCTTTTGTAAGTCAGTGCTGTAACTACAAGATTTTGAGGGACCTTTGGCTCTGGTCAGCTCTACCAGTGTGGGACCTGCTAATGACCTCTGGGGCAGCACACTGAGACAGTATCAGCCTCTTAAAAACCCAAACACCACCAAAGCAAAAACAACAACAACAAAAAATCCAAGCCAAACCAATAGAACCCAAGAAAGGTTAAGGGCATTATGAGCTTTTTCTAGAGTTATCTGCTTGTCTATACTGCAGAATCAGGTACTGCAGTTCACTCAGGAAAACAAAAGCACAGGCCACCAGCACTGGAAATGAAGAGGCCCTCTCCTCTGATTTACCTGACCCTAATTCCCTACTCAGTCACAGACTTCACAGAGCACCACCAGAAACTCGACCTTGAAGCTGGCTTTTTCTCAGAGCAAAGGAAATCCCAAGCAGCATCTTGTTTCAAATGGGGTTTGTCCAAAGGGAAAGCAAATGCTGTGGCATGAACCGAGCCTTTCATTGCAGTTATAATTTTGTCCTTACCTCCTGACACGATTCAATAAACTCATCTAAAGTTACAACACCATCTTTGTTTTTGTCCATTTTCTGCAAAATAGAATTTAAAAAAAAAAATTTTTGTTTCCATAGGTAACACTGGAGTTACAATATCTTATTTGATGCAACCTGAATAAACCCAGGGCACTTTACAAGCTTAGGTTACAGGCTCAGCGGATAAATTTGCCAACTGCTAAGGACTTGGTTACTTTGGGCTTTGGAGCACTTTTGAGGTCATCTCCAACTACTCCATCCCTGACACACACTCTGCCCCTATTACAGTGTTCATTTCTTCACTGCCTCACCAGCCAGCACCCATATTCCTGTCTCTCTTTACAGGCAGTTCATAGAATCATAGAATCACAGACTGGTTTGGGTTGGAAGGGACCTTAAAGACCATCCAGTTCCAACCCCCCTGCCATGGGCAGGGACACCTTCCACTAGACCAGGTTGCTCCAAGCCTCATCCAGCCTGGCCTTGGACACTTCCAGGGATGGGGCATCCACAGCTTCTCTGGGCAACCAGTTCCAGTGCCTCCCCACCCTCTGCGGGAAGAATTCCTTCCTGATATCGAATCTAAACCTCCCCGTTCTCGGTTTAAACCCATTACCCCTTGTCCTGTCACTACAGGCTCTTGTAAAAAGTCCCCCCCAGCTTCCTTGTAGGCCCCCAGTTAAGAGAAGAAGCACAGACATATGTAGCGGCTTCAGACTTGCTGGATGCGGTACATCCCAATGCAAAGGGTCTGGCTAAGAGACCAACAGGATACCTTGGAGTCAGGAAATCAGCAGACACTAGTGGTAGGCTGAATGGCTGCTAAGGTTTATTTTGGAACATATAGTGGGGCATAGGATTGAACTTGGGGTTAACCTTACAGTAAAGTGTATCAGTGCATAGCTCAAATGTTAAGAAAAACACACCAAAAATCAAGTACCTGGAAGAATACCTCTACATGTTGCCTTGGAGCATCTTCCTTGAGCACTGGATACGTGTACTTTCCCATCATATCATAAATTGCCTTTACGATATCCATCATTTCCTGCAGTAGTGGCACAAACACAAAAGAGAAATCAATAGAAATGATAGCATGTTTCTTTCTTTCACTACCCTTCTCTTCACCCTTCTCCTATGACAAAACAGCACAGAGAACGTCTATACACATCCGTAATGACAGACGTATCATCATACACAAGTTCATCTGTAGAACCAAGCGATTCTTCCTGGCTGTGCCATGGCCCGGCCGCAGCCGTGCTGGAGGTGCCTGCAGGGCTCCCCTCCTCCGCTGGCCAGGCAGCGGTGCAGGATGTGTGCTCTGACACGGCAGCTGCTGGGGAGGGCGCTGGGCCGCAAGTGGTGCGCTCGGTCCTGAGCTCCACAGCACTGACCTTGTCCCAGAGCCTCCTCCGGGGCCAAGGACCTTCACAGCAGTCACTGGGAACCCAGCCCTCTCCCACGCCTTGCACAAACTGCCACACAACTGACCAGTACTAGTAACCCAAGCCCCCCAAAGTGGGCACGATAGTTTTGACAAGATAGACCAAGATGTATTTGGAAAATATTCAGGTTACCATGCTCAAGATCAAGGCTTCCCACAAGGGAACAAGCAATACCAGATCAGAAGAGAAAACCAGATGGCAGTGCACGATGTGGGAGGTGTGCTGGGAGCTTGTAGTGCTTCGGGTGAGCCCACACCATACCCCCCAGTGCACCCAGAACCCCTCGCACCTCAGTCACCAAGTAGCTACTGTCACTGTCACCCTCCCCGTCGCAAAGGTTATCTTGCTCATAGCTGTAACTAGGATTTTCCTCCTGGCTAAAGCAATTCATTAAAGGCACTATAATATCGGAAAATATGTCCAGAAAAATCACACAATATGCAATCACTGTGTACTTCGACAGAGATAAATGCTCAAGTCCAGTCTGATTTACATTTAGTTGGCTGCACGCAAAATTAACTGTGCTCTGCAACAGAAACCAGTCAGCTCTTTGCAGAAATCACCCACACTTGTCAGAAACAGCCTTACCTCCTTGTTTATGTAGCCGTCCTTATTTATGTCGTACAGATTAAACGTCCACCGTAGCTTTTCATGAACAGTTCCCCGCAACAGAATGGACAATGCCATCACAAAATCCTGGTTCGGGGCAGAGAGAGAAATGTGATTTTTCATAACATTCTCCTCTAAGTCACCTTTTTTATATAATACCAGTCAAAAGATGTACCTTTTTAGGACCAAGCATATTGTTATCAACCTCTTCTGACTCCCTTTTCCAAAAATGCGTCCTCTGACTGAACTCAACAGACATAGCATCCTCTAAGATGATCTGAATACAGTCACACTAATAGGTGTGTATGGGGTGACCATGAGAATCAGAGAAGTCCTCAAGTACCTACCTTCAGCCACCGTAAAAGCCAAGCTTATGACGTGGGTTAGGCAGCTTAGCAAGGCTGGAAGGGCAGGAAGACCTAGAGGTGCTGCAGCCTTAAACCCTCCTAAATCCTAGGGTGAGGGGTGTGAAAATGGCATGGGCTGAACAGCAGATCCAGTCCAAGTCAGGCAGACTTCGACCCTAAAGCCAACAGGACAGTGGCTGCTCTGGTTCCTTGGATTTGCCTGGAACAGCACAGTATGCTCAAGACCACTAGCTGGAGCAACTTCCTTGCTACCCATCCAAATTTATCATGCACTAAACTCCAAATACCGCATGAATGGAAGCATGGCAAAATACATGTCTGGTTTGTAAGAGCACCACGAGATGCTCCAGTGGCCATTTCCCTCCTAGAAATGGCCTGCTGCAAGAAGACAAGAGGAAACAGCCTCAAGTTGCCCCAAGGGAGGTTTAGGTTGGATATTAGGAAAAATGTCTTCACATTTTTGTTGCCAGGCATTGGAAGGGGCTGCCCAGGGAGTTGGTGTAGTCACCATCCCAGGAGGGATTTAAGAGATGTGTAGACATGGTGCTCAGGGACATGGTTTAGTCGTGGCCTTGGCAGTGTTGGGCTAACGGTTGGACTTCATGATCTTAAAGGTCTTTTCCAACCGACACCAGTCTATGATTCCCTGAGTCACTCTGACTGCTGCTGCCTGGTTAAACACAGCTGGCTCTAACTGCAGCAGTGGCAGCTGATGCTTCCTTACCCCCTGACACAGGGTGCTAGTGATAGAGGAGGAGGAAAAATCTAGCCTTTTCTCTGTGTCCACCTTGAGAGAAAAAGATCCCAAACTCTGCTAACACAGAGGGCCTCAGGTTTTGTTCTCTGGCAAAATCTGTCAGTCTTGACCGGGTGTGATTCCCACCACTAATTACCCAGTCTGGGACAGAGCATTTTAAGGGTATATTTTGTTTACAGCAAAGTTACTGCTTCTAATAACTTTGATTTATTCTTTATACTGCACAGTGGCTCAAGCACTGTAAGTAGCATTGCTACAGGGATTTATTAGTAGAGGCAGAGCTTCAAGCTAACAGAGCTGTACAGTTCCTGATAGCTCGTTTAATGTCCTTAGCCCTTCCTACGTTATCTCCATTAGCTCTGCATGGGGCAGTGCATCACTTCTTAGAAACCTTTGCTCCTTTTTCCCAAGGCTCAGAGGAATTAGAATTTGCTGAACGATATAAAAAAGGGGACAAAATGCTTTTGCTTGACAATCACTAAAGAGACAGGTTTGCCAGGAAGGAAAGCTCAGCACTTTTTTTTTTTAAATAAATACTTATCTAAGCATTTTGCTGTGTCAGCCTGTTTAGGTTTCTGGAGGTCTAACTACTGAGTAGCCACCATATGCAAAACTTGTACGGCAGACCGCTACAGACACACAAATACACATTTGACACATTTTACATTTAATGAATTAACTAATTTCTCAGTTGTACCTGGTAATTACTGGAGGTTTTAGCCATTTGATGGGCAGAACCACCTGTGACTTCTAGTTTTCTGATCACACTAAACTGTCTTCAAAAAAGTTCATCCTCCATGGGCCTATGACTTAATATGTCCCCTTGCTGCACTCCAACCATGTGTGAGAGCTTGAAGGATGGCTACTTGTAGCCACAGCAACAAGCCTTTTAGTTAAAGGATGTATTTGATTCCCTAGGAATGAAGTACCCAAGATGCTTGTTCAATATGTCAAATAAGAGAAGAACAAAACAACCCTCACCCAACTAACCAACCAACCCCAAACAAACCAGGAACACTGAAATATAATCCTGTAATGCATGACGACTGAAGAAGACACACAAAGTTCTGACTTTTCTTTGACATCCAAATTATCCAGGCAAATCCCTGGATGGGACTGTGCTCAACCTCTCCGCTACATCAATCTCTCCACTTTCTCCCTGTGGTACTGAATAACATGATCTACATGGTTCTTTAGTGAAAGGAGACATACACCTTTACCTGCATAAAGCGAGCCAGATTTTAAAATATCAAGCGATTTTAGGCTGAAACCTCTAACCCATAATCCAGCAAGTCCTAGTAGTTTACAATGAAGAATGCATGGAAAACGTTAAGAACACAAAACTCTGGGAGAAAGAGGCATCAAAGGAAGGCAAAACAATTACCTCAAACTTCACTGAGCCATTCTGTGCAGTGTCGAAGGCGTTAAAGAGATAATGTGCATACATGCTCGCATCTGAAAAACGCAAAGGGCACCGATTGGTACAACAGTTTGTTATACACTAATGGATCTAAACAACGTTCATGCTCTTATTTTCCTTTCCTATAAAAGCCAACCTTGTAGCACTCCCAGATACTCTATGACCTAGCGAATGTTAACACAGACTTGCACGCTCCCCACACGCTCCCTTAAAACAGCCTTGAAAGGTAAAAGCTTCTATTACAATAGAAACAACCTGGATTATGGGGCTGTACTTGAAAGAACAAGCAAAAAAAAAAAAAAATCCCAAGGGTTTTTTTGGGGCAAACAGTCTTAATTCTGGTGGCTGAATACAGCACATGTACTTCTTTGTGCTACCCAGCAGAGATTCCCCTGGCCTGTCCAACCACAGCAGGGTCTAGCTAGTTCCAGTAACTGGAGTTTGGCCCATGACTGCTGAAGAGCAATCTCATCAAAATAAGGCATATTTTCATCCTTTTGAATCTTCAGCTGCTGGTTTTAGAAAATCTTTTCTATTTTCTATGGCCACGTGAAGGATGGCTGTTAACTGGGCAAAACAGTAACGGTATGCAGAGACAAAATCAAATCGCTGTGTGACCTTATGACCTTCGCTGGCCTGTTCTCTGCTCTGGAGGCAACTCACACTGCTCACTCTATTACTAGAGCCCAACTTTTCAAGATGGAAGCGACCGATATTAAATTCCCTTAATTATTTCATTGCTAATCTAACAGCCAGGCACTTTTTTCTCTCTTCTTTGCCTCTAGCACACAGCATCAGTCAAGCCTGAGCCCTCTTACTCAACCTAGGGGTATGCAGGTGGAGCCTGGTGCCCTGTGCTCCGCAGGCAGTCCAGTGGAATGACCCACCATCTCTCTACTCTGATCTCTAGGAAATGATTACATATTTTCACATTATTAAAATCCAGGAAATTGTAACAGTGTGCAGAAAAATCAAATACTTAAGTTATTGTCATTACTGTAAGGATAGAATACACCAGACTGTGGGAAAAAACTAGTCTGCTACATTTTTAAGAGAAGGATTCTGAAATAAAATAGTTCCAGAAGAAAACCATAGAATTATTTACAGGAAAGTCCTACCAAAAAGTGATTAAGTTAAACTAAACAGTGAACTAAAAACATTAAACTAGAGATCTTTTTTTGATAGGGTATGATGTTGTGCTGGATTCAGTCAG